GCGATCTCTAGTATCGCAAATCAGTTTTCAGATTCGCAACGCGATTTTCACTATCGCGATAATACAAATCGCAAAGTGATTCTGACTATTGCGATAATACAAATCGCAATGCGATTATGACTATCGCAATGCGATAATACAAAATCGCAACGACTGGTGGTATTGCATTTGTTTCTTAAGAATTTTCTCTAAAAAATAGTATCCGCGCGGACGTGTTGAAGACACGTATTACCACGACCACGACCACGATCACGACGAGACGGGACGGGACGGCGGCGGCGACAGTACGCGAGAGTCCTCCTTGTTATCTTCCACTCAACAAGGAAGTGGGAAATCCAAGCCTTAAATACTCATTCTCAATAGTTTTTTTAATACTATGTGGGATTGAGCATTGCAAACACTTGGAAATTTTTTACACTATCGCAACACATTCTTTATTGTTTCAAACTAAGATCTTACAAATGGCTTGGGAATCTTTTACACTATCGCAACACATTCTTTATTGTTTCAAACTCCACATGAATTTGGAATAGTTAAAATGTAAACTTATTTTGGATTTTTCACTATCGCAACACTTTTTCACTATCGCAACAACACGTTTTTCAAACTCTCGCAAAACATTTTAATTATCGCAACACATTTTTCAAAATCGCGTTGCGAATCTGGATATTTGCGTTGCAAATTTGAAAACTAAGTTGAAAAATTAGAATTCGCGTTGCGATTTTGTTGGTCATTTTGGCAAATCCAAAAAAAGTTGATTAAAATCGTATATTATAAGGCATTTTCGATCACTGAGGTTATTTTCTCTTATATATACTATATAGTTATATACTTATATATTATACATATATTATATCTATATATTATATTTATTATTATATATTATAGTATATATTTATTATATAGTATATATATTATATTATTTATTATATTAATATTATTTATTATATATATTATTATTTTTATATTATATATATTATTTATATTTATTACATATTTTTATTATTTATTTATTTTCCTTGTTTATAGGTTTAATTCAGTCCAAATTACAATCCAACCGAGCAAGTAGGTCTGACTCAACAAGCCAGCCAGATAGGGATAGATCTGACCCAATCAGTAAATCCAGCAGTGGGTTAGGGTTGTGTAAACCCTAAACTATCAAGGACATTGCATAGAGGGATTGAGCGGTTGGTGGCGTCGCCAGTAGCCACGCATAATAATCGGCCGAGATTTTCGACAGAGAAAATTGGAACAGCTCGGGACTGAATCATCCCGGGATTTTCGGCCAACAACGTTCACAACCCGAATAAATCGAGAACGGAGAGAATGACTCCCGAAGCAATCAGAAACATCCACCAACAGGGGCTATACAAATCCCACGCTAAGGAGCCAACAAATAGAAGGAAGGACATCACCGGAGTAACCAAAAACGCCAAGAAACCGAACAAGAAAAAATCCAAGAAAAACCAAGCAAACAACAACCATAGCATCGAAAAATCGAGGATACACAACAATCAAAGCAACCAAGCAATATCAACAAAATATATAGAAAAAGCAGAAACACCAAATTAAGAACCGAAAGCAAAGTGTTTGAATACATAAAAAGCACAAAAAATTCAAGAGTTTTTCATCACATCAAATTAAGTCGGAACTGATTATGAACCCACCCGAATGACGGTTACGACAGGTATATTATGCTTTCCAGTTTGTTCTTTGCCCTCTTTATTTTGCATTTTTTTAGAAAGCGGAGCTTTCATTAATGCATGTGAGGCTTTCTATTTAAAGCCTTCATTTGGATTCAAGAATCTGTTTTTATGTGCTATGGCTTTAATGAATTTCCAATGTAAACGCTGATGTTTGGGGTCTAAAGTCTGTAATTCTCCCAATTGAATTTAAGTTGCTAAAGTTGACTTAAGATGGTATTCTGAATTGCAGCTGAGAAAAGAAATTAATTTTGGACTTTAACTGTAAGAGGTTCTTTTATTGCAAATAATTTCGAGACAGTCACATATTTAACTTGTATTGTCTACTTCTGATTCAAAATATGATATGGGGTTCAAGGTGCTTGAAGCATGAACCAACCTGCGCCGAACAGGATGAGTTCTACAATACCCCTATTTTGATAAGAGTAGGGAGGTAGTATGTTGAGAAACTCAAATATTGCATTGGAAGAGATTATAATATATATGTGGTATATTAATTCCTCTGTTTCTTAAGTGGTTTGACTATGATCCGTTTTCTGATACCGTCATTTTACGTTTACAAGGTTTACCCGGGTTTTGTTTTATTTCAGACATAATACCTTGCGGTTGCATCACTTGATGAAAGCTGTATATAAGTTCTTTTTCTCAGACTTTGGAGATTTAAATGTCTATTCCCTCCTATCTCTTCCTTTTGAGCATAGTGTTCACGGGGGCTACCTGATGGATTATTGCTGCATATACCAAGTATTTCTTTCTATTATCACGACTTTAATAATTGTCACTGTTATGGTTGGACTCTTGCAGGTTTTGAGGATACCAGCATAACATTTCTCGAAGGTATGTTTGCTGCTGCTGTTATTTGAATTTGCTGTCTTCTGGTTCAATAACACGATTTCTGTTTCATCCCTTTATAAGCTCGTTGTAATGTTTTCCCTCAAACTAATTCGATTGAATCATAGAATTTATTGGATGCAATGTTATTAATATTATCAACCCCATACCCATCTTCTTCTTCTTTTGGGATTCAACTTGAGGCATAATTGGAGAAGAGTATTCCTATCACTTTTTGGAACTTAAAACGGAATAATAACTTTTCCCTTTTAAAGTAACCTCCCTTTTCAGCCTTCTTGGCCAAGATTTATGGACAGACTTGCTTGTTTCTTTACCCTCATTCTCGACTTGCAGTTAATTCTGATCTTTTAATTGCGGTAACAGTGTCATCAGCCTTGTTGTGAGTCCAACATAACACCAGCTGCCACACAGAATACGTTAATATGAGAGTGAAGCAGCATGTACTGATAGAAACTTGTTGATTATCACACTTTCTTAATCTAATACTGTCCTTATTTCATGAAACGTCATGTACTGATAGAAACCTTTTGATTGAGCATTCAAATGATATCAGATGGAATGTCCCTAACGAGGTCTTTTCCTATAGCGCCAGTACTACTATAGAGAATCAATAGTGTATTTCATCATATCTGGCTCGACTTTACATTTGAACAAGTGGATGCAATTTAACTTCAAGGACATGTGCATCCATCACTGTAGTTCATAAGCATTCAATCTATGATATGTGGATATGCAATCTTATGCCTTCTATTAATTTTCAATCTCAATGGGCTTATTATTTATTTGGAAATACTTAGAATTGGTAATTAAATAATGAAAAGAAAATCGATTGTGCGTGTTCATGTGCTTCCGCACTGAATCATCATTTAGTTAAAGAATTTCTTACTGATCTGAAGTGAATGACTTTTTACTGATGCGTGTCTTTCATTTATTCAGGATATAGACTTGCTTCATTTCCATGCTGCCTTTTTCTCAACTTTAAAAAAGTTATGCATCTCCTCCATTTTATGCTTTCTGGTATACAGCTAGTGGTAGGCGGACACTTAATCTCGAAAGAGGTTTAGATCATGAAGGGCATCCTCTTGCTATCACAACAGCTGAGGCAGTTGCATCCATTGGAGTTCCTCTTTGGAACTGGAGAGACACCCCTGGAAACGGTAAGTTCTGTTGGAGTTTTTGCTGAACAAACTTCACCAAAAATATTATTGTGTTGCATGTAGAACAATGTTCAAGTGTTCTAGTGCTTGGTCATGAGAATCGACTCCCATCTTATCTGAGGTGAAACTTTTAATTTTGAGTGAAATATTTATGTTGACTTATTCTCTTTCGCACCGTATTTGTTAGGCGGGGATTGTTAGCCATATGGAGGCAGGGTTATAACTGTCAAGTATGGGGACTACATCCGAAGGATTGGTATTGATGGTACAGCTGAAGCCATCAGAGAGGCAATTAAATCTGCTTTTAGATTGGGAACTAAGCGTGCACTTTGGTTAGAGGATGAAGACCATATAGTTCGTAGTCTAGACAGGGAAATGCATCTAGGAAATTATGCAATCCATCTTGATGAAGGTAAGATTGACGTGCTCTACAAATTCTAACCATAAAAAATTTATGGTAAGCATTTTCATAAAAATATAGTGTGCCTTTATGACGAGTCAGATCATATACCAGTCCACACAGAGGAGAAGACTTTTTACACAGAAGATGATTACCTTGAATATCTAGTCCGTCGGGCCTACACAAGTCTCAGGGAGATTGATGGATACAGAAACATTGACAATATGGATGACCTTCAAACTAATGCTATATATCGAGGCGTGAGCTGAAAGCTGGTGCATCTTCCTTGCCTTGGCATAAGTGTGCATGCGGGATTCTAAGATTTGCTCATATTGAGTGTTTTCTTATGTATTCACTCCAGTACGTTATCTGTGTATATGACCTGGGCATCTTCTTTGTACATATGCTTTTGGGCAAGGTTTTCAAATGAGGTCAATTTTTTGAGAATTTATTCAAAGTTTATCCAGTGTTCCCCATACAGAGCCCGGAAGAGTAGTATAGTCGCAACCGAGGTGTTTCCCGTGAGCAGGTAACGGCGGTTTGCAAATAGGACATCTTGGTTAAACATTATTTCTGCAGCAGGAGATACAAGGACTGGGCGAGACCCGAAATGTATAAAGATAATAGGACCTACCGTTTGCGTTTGCGATGGATGGACGGAAAGGGAAAGGGCAAGGCTCGGTAGGAGTCCATTCTGTTTGTCATCGGGAGAAAACAACATAGTAGACAAGCGAGGGTTCCATGGAATGATCGGAGGAAGAAAGAATCATTTATAGGATAAAATGAACTATGTAAGAAAATCTGCCGTTGTTAATGATTTGACATTTATATTGAGAAACAAATTTCACAACCATACACACAAAAGCAGACTCAAAACATCCGATTCATTTCATCTTTCGCAGCAATCCATTGAAAATATATGTGAAGAAAGATTCACATAAATATTGCAGTAAAAAGAAAGGTTCTGTCCGGTCTACTGCTCGTCCCATTCATCATTCTTGTACGAAACAAGAGTATCAACCTTGTGTATCTGCATAACCCCAAACAGACATATACTTGGCATAAACAACAACTTTGGCCTCAAAATTCTATTGATTGATTGATTTACCTTGGTATCAAATGAATGCAACTTAACCATTTGTGGATTTGCAATCAACTTCGGGTCACTCTCTATCCAAGTGAACGGTACTGCAACATCCTTATCGGTGTACGCCAAAACATCGAACACACCTGCAAAGAAACGAGTGCATGAGACGATCCGGTGAAAGAAGACGATCCGAATCACATTTTTAGTTAATAAGTTTCAACTTACAAGGTTCATCAAGGCATGGCAAGTAAGTAATACTCGAAGCAACCTGTCTCATAATCGCCTGGATTTCTCTCATGATTTCTCTGTCACTCTTCTCCCTCGACACACTGCAAATCAAACACACACACAAAATGAAAATCCATCTCTCGGATTTCACACCAAAACACCAAAAATGTTACCTTTTCTCAACAACTTCACTATCAGTCTCGATGCTGAAATTCCACCTCTCCAAAACCTCATTGGTTGCCTTGCTCATGATAACCATTACAACCCTCTGTAATTTCCCGGATTCCAGCCACTCTTTTCCCAACAATTTCGTTTACACAATGTGAGAAAATTATCACTTTTATATGTTTATCTATACATGTTCAAAGGCAGAGATTTACCAGAAAGCTGAGCTGTTAGATTGGTAATGAAGGATTTAACACCTTCATCTTGAGTAAGCAACATTGGAAGTCCATATTTCTTCACTTTGGCAAAACTTTCTTCGGGGTAAACTCCTCGATTGTACAGAATGCTAAACAAAGCCAATTCTTTCATTAATCACAGATATTTTCTCCAGAAAAATAACAGTTTCAGAGAAATCAATAAGAATTAACTTCCCCTCATCCTTACCTATTCGCTGCATATCCTGAAAAAGGGGGGAAAACGAAGTCAGCGAAAATTTTCCCAGAAAACCCAGAAAAGAGCAGAATTAAGAAAGCACATTACCGAAGAACTCGCTCACGATCGCCGCTGATCCTCGAAGAGTGATTATATCTTTGGCAACAGTTCTGGACGCCATTCGAATTATTCTGGGTTCGAAATTTTGACTAAAAGGAACAAAATAAATGGAGAAAATGAGGGCAAAAAGGCAGCTGAAATTGAGATGTAGGAAGTAGAGATGATCGTTTGGTTTGAAGGAGATGAATATCGGTAATGGCTGATGAGTTTTCGAGAAATATGGGTTCGAGAAGAAAAAATAAAATAAATGTGTAACGGCTAGTTTCTTGACGTTCGACTTGGAGCCAACTACAGATTTTTAAAGAGCGTATTTAACGGTAATAAAAAGTGGGTCCTTTTATCAGAGGATAATTAGTGCATGTTTGTTTGTCGTTTTAATTAAAACTTTTATTATATTATTTTAATGATAATTTTATAGCAAAAAGGTATTAGAGGTATATGTAAATTTGAAAAAAAGGTAATATAACTCTTATATTATTTTATTAATGTAATTTTTCAACTCATAAAATAAATCTAATGTAATCATTTGATTAATATTTTTTTGTAGTTTGACTATTACGGTGTTGACGTGGTGGTCCACGATACTGACATATCATGTTTGATTTACCAATTTAGCCCCTCTGTCATGTTATATGCCACATTATCAACCATCGTGCACTGTTACATTAGCACTGTGAACTCCACGTCGATACCGTAACGATCAAACAACGAAAAATGTTCTTTAAGGGTGTGTTTGGTTGGGGGAATGGAATCCACATTCTCCCGTTTGGTTGGCAGGGAATGTCATTCCTGGTAATCTTTCATTACTAATAGTGGATTTTTTTGGGTATATTACCGAGAATGTCATTACCTCCATTTCCTTATGTATGGTTGGATTACTGACGTTTTGGACTAAAATGTCCTTAAATTTTTTTCAAAAATATTATTATTCTGTCATTAAATAATAAAAATTCTACGAATGTTAAATTACAAATTTATCCTTAAACTATTTTAATTTACAAAAAAATCTATAATTAAAATTTTATATGAAGTTCAGGGGTTAAAATAAAATTTTACCCTTTCATTAAACCTTTTTATATTTTCAATTTTATAAAAAAATTATATAAATTTTATGAATTTAAATTTTTTAAAGAGAATATATAAATATTTTCCAACTTGTTAAAAAACAAATATATAATAAGTACAATTTGGTCAAATATACATTCAAATAATCTTTTATTCCTTTAACCAAACACGATAATCTTACATTACTGCTAAACCAACCAAACACAAAATACAACATTTCCAGTAATCCTATTCCCTGCTAATCTTTTATTCCCACTGGTAATATTATATTCCGTGAACCAAACGTATCTTAAAGGTCACATTGGACCTTTTTCCTATATTCGAGGGTCACATTAGGAGAAAAATAATATGATGACTAAATTGATTTTTTAAAAAAATACAGGGACCTCTAATTCTTTTTTACCTATATTATTACTTAAAATTTTAAAACTGCGATCGAATATCTAGTTAATTAAATTAAATTTCAATTTGATATATTAATTTGCTAAAAATCGAACAATGAACACCTTAAATATATGTTTAACTTTCGTCTTTCAAAGCATCCTTATAAAAATGATCAACACCCAGTACCAACGGGGTGTCGTGGTGTAGTTGGTTATCACGTCAGTCTAACACACTGAAGGTCTCCGGTTCGAGTCCGGGCGACGCCAATTTCATTAATTTTTTTGAGGCCAAAGCCCGCTGTCGCTGCTATATATTGCAGTTAGATCACTTGCTATACCTGAATCAAGTTGTTCATCATCTACTTATCGTCAGAATGTTTTTAAAAGACATTGCTAACTTTTGAAACCAATGATCATGCAAGCCATCATCAAGATGGAACCAGTAGCTTCATCATCACCCGTAATATCCTTTTCTTCAGCTTTATAGTACTGGTAATAATCCTGCTACTTGATGATTTTAGGTGCAGACAAGTTGATGAACCAGTTACTTTACACTTCTTTATTTCCCATGCTTAGGAGGACCATCCGTTCCCCTACCGGAGTATGTTCGCTATTAATTGAAAATACAAAGAAAACATCTAAAATATATGCTAATTTGAAATTTTCAGGAGAACGACTACCCCATCCATCCCTATTCCCACTCGCTCCTTCGATTCATCTTTGATCGTAGCGGAATACCAAATGATGACATCAACGACACAAGAAAATATTTAGCTGAAACAACTAACGGAAGATCTTTATCAGCCAAATGATTATCAAGTAAAACTCCACGATAATTTATCAGTCATACGTGTAATAGAAAATTCAGTCTTTCATACAAGGATAAAACACATTACATAATAAAAGTGCATTATCACTATATTCACGAAGAATCTGAGTAGACTAAAATTTTACATATAAAAGTGCATTATCACTATATTCACGAAAAATGTAGACTAAAATTTGAGAAATTATTAATAAGAAGATTCTGGCCCAAAGCTCTCTTTATTTGATTTGAAAGTAGTTGTTATAACAACTAATATAATTGTTACCTCTATAAATTTGAATCGAATAAATAACTCACTGTTCAGCATCCAAGATATTTCTATGTAAGCACGCAAGTTCTTGGACATGTCAAACTACTAGATGACAACACACAAGATCGTCTCTTATTCTCTATCATTTAACAGGGAAAGGGAGAATGAACACTGTAAATACCTTTGCAAGAATTATTTTCACTCAATGTGGATAGTGTCCGAAGCATTATTATCATCATTTTGGATGGTTTGCCCAGGACTGTGGTTCAGGCAGAGAAGGTGTTCTTTTTGTCTCATTCAACATTGTATTGGCTTTGTTGCTCTTTGGGTCTTTTGATCTTTAACTATATTTGGTTACCTTGATATAGATCTTGATATAGTCTCGGGTGAACTTCTAAAATTTTAGTGTATAGATCTTGAAAATACAAAAATAAAATTTTAAAATATATATTAATTTAAAAATTTTAGGTGACGATTCGCCCATGGCTAAACTCTCGAGATAACGTTCTCGAATAAATTATTTCACGAGATAATACTCTCCCAAGATTAATTGCTCAAATAGGGTGAAATCCACAGTGTTGGCCGTAGGTTGCCATGCCTTGCGGGCGATCTATTACGTGGCATGCACGTCCCCAAGCATAGGTCGCCATGCCCTCCGAGCCGGGCGACCTTGTAGGTCGCCATGCACTCCTGGCGACCTTGTAGGTCGCCATGCACTCCATCCTGCTCCTCGCGTGATTCCTCTTGCCCTCGGATGCCTTCGCATAGCTCGCTTGGATGCCCTCGGTCGGATGGCCTCGGATGCCCAGCGTGTTGGAACGTGCGTGGCACATGCAATCTCTCTCATAGCTCGTTGGGAAGACACGGCGACCTATGGCCAACACTGAAGATTTCACCATATTTGAGCAATTAATATGGGAAGTGCATTATCTTGTAAAATAATTTGTTCGAGAACGTTATCTCGAGAGTTTAGCCATTGGCGGATCCATCCCCTTTAGTCCATCCAAGTCCTCACCTGCCCCCCCGAGTTCATCTCTAACCATAGCGAAATATCGATCGACCACATCAACGACACAAAATATTTAGCTTAAACAACTAATGAAATATTTTTATCAACCAAAAGATTATTAAGTAAAACTCCTCTGCGTTAGTTTATCAATCATACGTCTAACATAAAATCCAATCTTTTATGTAAGGATAGACCATATTACATATAGAAGTACATTGTCACTATATTCACAAGAAGGCCCTTGAAGGAGAGATCAAAATGATTCCAACAAACACATATGAGCAAGTTATAAGCATATTCATGAAGAACATGAATAGATTAAAGTTTGAGAAGTTTAGAGAAGCAATGAGAATGATCTACTAAACACATACAAATAGAAATTATTGAGGAGAGTGTTAAATATGCATCAACTTCATTATTACCCTTCATTATAAAATCCCCTCGAGCCCAAAGCTCCCCATGTTACAAAGGAGGCAAAGCTCCCCGTCGTGCCAAAGATCCGACCCGTTGTTTCAGTCAATCCGTATGACTTCAAATGGAAAAAGAAAAAGGAAATCATATGAAATTATTGGTTAATGGATTAGCAGTTTAATTAAGGGTTTTACTTTTACCTGGGTCAGCTGAACTACCGTTTTTTCAACTTGTGTATCATATTTTTTACTCAAATGAGCTCCACCGGAGATGAGAACTTGAAGCGAGCTCAAATCATAGCCGCCCATTATCTCAGAATCCCTCCCCATCGATACAGTCAAGGGTGGAGCCACCGCCAAGTGGTTAACCCTGTACTCTTCGATGATACTGTACATTCTCTTATCAAACGTCCGATTTCCTCCCGTTATCACCAAACAGTCACCGGACGCCACGATCCTCATACTCAACAATAATCCGTAAGCGTGAAATAACGGAACCGTACAGTAAGTAACCAAGGTGATCGTCCTCACCGGACGCGTTACGCCGGCGATGTTGGCCATCAAGTTACGGTGTGTTAATGCAACTCCTTTAACCGGACCGGTGGTGCCGGACGAGTAGAGAATCGCGGCGACATCTGATTGGTTAACTTTGATTCCTTCTCGTTCCTTTGTTTCGCTTTGAGTTTCCATTAACGACTCGAATTCAAAGGTGTCTATAGAAACGATCCCGTGTTTAAGCGAAGGTAGCTTGTAAGCTGAATCCGATGAGGCGAAAGCGATCACCGACTTTGACAGCCGGATATGGTGATGGATCTCGGGAACTGTGGCGGCCGGATTGATGGGAGAGACGACGACGCCGAGAGATAAGAGAGACTTGTAAATGATCGGAATGTAGACATTGTTAGGGGAGAAAACGAGAGCACAGTCGCCTTTGGAGAGGCTAAATCGGGTGCTAAGAGAGGAGACTAGATTTTCGAGGCGGGAAATGAGTTCTGGGTAGAGGATACAAAATTTCATAAATTTTACACGAAAAAAAAATTATAAAATATAATTCGAATATCTCAAAATTTTTATTAATTAGTATATTGATTTTTAAATTTGAGTCGAATCTTTTAATTCTGTTTGATATATATATATATATATATGAGTAAGCATGTATGTATTATATATAGTTATAAAAAATTATTTAAATTAAAATAAAATAATATCATTATATTATTAATATTTAAAAATTAAAACTCAAAATCCAATTTAACTTAACTCGACTCGAAATTCTGTTAACAACTTACATATTTCTAAATATTGTTTTAAATTTTGATATATATATATATATATATATATATATATATTAATTTTAAATTGTAAATAAATTAATGAATCTACCTGATCGTGCTCGGCTCAACTTATGATTTATCTTGTCAAGAGAACTCAGCCATTAATCCATAACGAATCCCTGATTTTGACCAATATATATTTATATAGTTAATAAAAATAAAAAGGAAATTCATTAAATAATAATGACTTGTATTTAATCGAATACATTGGAGTCTCAAACCTAAACGGTCTCGTTTTGCAACGTCAGAGAGTAAATAACATTGACCACACAGTAAATGAGATGAGTAAACGAGATGAGACAGATTGTCAGCTATTCGAAATTCACTCTATTAAAATTCGATAAATATTCGACTCGAATAGATTAGACTCAAACTCAAGCTTAACTCAATTCTTAATGAATTAAAACGAATTACCTAATACTCAACTTGAAAAGCTCTAGAACAACTCGAAAATATAATATATTAAAATTTTATTTTTTAAATAAATTATTAATAATATTAATTATTATGCATTGATTTTTTTTAAATACAATATAAGATTTTCATATATTTAAGGTTTAGGTGTGAGTTTAAAATTTTAATCGAGTTAAGTTTAACATTTTTTTCTTAATTTCAAGTTTTTTTAAACTTTTACGAACTTCAATTCATGATTTTGAGTTCAAATCAAGCTTAAAAGTTTTAGACTTACGAATTTTCGAACCAAATCAAGCTCTATCGAAACGAAGAACAACTAATTGGAAGTTAGATAAAATCCACAATATGCGGTAACCTCCGCAACCGACTTGCTTTGAGACTGCAGTGATATTTGCAGACGTGTCATAAAAGATTCCAGAGGCAATTTAACTTTGGTAGTCTGCAGAGTTACTGCCAGCAAAGGGAAGGCAACTTGAAGGAGAAAGAAGAAGGAAAATGACCGGTTCTCCTTATGTAATCCGCCCTTTGTGAAGTCCTTACAGCTTTCTCGTTTAGCTTTGATTCTGCATTTGCACGTTTCTCTTCGGCTATTCTCCTTGTGGCTGCAAGTTTGTTTGCGCACCTTTCTTTTGCCCGACCTTTCAGTCTCTCAGCTCTCGCCTATAAACGCATAAAACAACAAATTCATGGCAATGGAACATCTAGATCTGGCAATGTTTCTCGTTTAAAAAATCCGACCCGATTCGACTCCGAATATAGTGGAGATTTAGCAGAGGACTTACCTCTATTTTCTTCATTTCCAATTCAGCTTTCCTCTTTTCATGATTCTCCCAGGCCTGTATCTTCACTTCTTCACGCTTATACCTACAAAGCAACACATGCCTTTATCATATTAGACTATAAACTTCAAGGTAAGGTATAAACGACCTGAACTTGATCGAAAAATGTTGTATTTATGTTTATTTATTTTTTAAAGTGTTTATGTTCAATGAAAATTTTAATATCGTGTTCATGTTTATTTATTTATTATCCGGGAACATATTCATTTAACATTCGTAAACGTATTCATTTATATGTTCATAAATAATAAAATTATATCACTAGTACTCTAGTTCCTTAGAGTTCACAGTTTGAACTCTAAAGTTCATATTATGTTTAATTTAATTATCTATCCTTACCAATATTTAAAAAGGTAAATGACACGTCTAATATTTAAACTATTAGTTTTTATATATTTTAGTACCTAACTTTTATTTTTTTCAAAATCATACATACTATTTAATTTTTATTTCATTTTAGTACATCGATGTTAAAAACTTAACGCGTTAGTACCTAAACTATCAATTTTGATTTAATTTAGTATATAAACTTTTATTTTTTTCAAAATTTAGAGTTTAAATTTCAAATAATGTACTAAAATGAAACAAAAATTAAAATTTAGGTTCAATTTTTAAAAAATTAAAAATTTAAATACTAAACATATCTAAACACATAATATACCCAATTCAAAATTAAAAATGAAAAAAAAAGTGAGTAAATAAGTTTATAAATTAGTCGTTAAACGAGTTTAATCGTTATCATAACGAACAAAAAGCATCTTTGTTCATGTTTATTTTTATTAAATGACCATAAAAATTCTGTCCACGTTCATTTACTTAACTTAATAAATGAATGATATACGAACATTAAATCGAATTGTAACCCTACATCAAGTATTTGAATATTGATATTACGAGTGAAGCAAACTTATAATTCCGGATATAGATTAATCAATCGGTAATAGACTATAATAAACATTGTGCTTTGTCAGAGTAGGAACAAATTAGCACATTACCTAGCCATATATTTAGCACGTTCAGCTTCATCCCAAGCCATGGCTCGAGTTTCCAAACTACTCTGCTTACTAGCCTGACCCGGTTCATGTCCCTCGAGCCAGTCCGAGCCATTTCCTTTAGCGGCAGCATCAGTTTCGCCTCTCCCCTCGGCCGATGTTGGTCCTACATGTTTGCATCTCACTGGGGTCGAAGATCCTGAAGAAACAGGACTACTTCCTGCAGGGGTGGTGGCTCGTAAAGGCGTTGTGGTTCTCGACGGCTCTTGGCTCGCAATCGGAGTCATCTCGGTCCCCATATCTCTCACACATATCGATCGAACACCCGGCACCGAGTTCTCCCCCGGGTTGTCGAGTACTCGCCAAACAGGCCCGTCGAAATCGACCTTCTTCGTTTCGCATTCGAACTCGGGCGCTATCAGCCTTGTATCATCGGCGTTCGAGTCTCGAGGCTTGGCTTTGGGTTGGACCTTCTTGTCTCGGCTCCTCGACAGCCCCACAAGCCATTTCTGCGCATCGTCCCACTTCGAAGGCGTCATCGGCTTCCCCAAGGCTGCTGTTCGATGATGAGACTGAGAAGCTTTATGAAACTCGAAACTCACGGCACCACCACCGCCATTGCTGCTCGAAATCCCATTAGCCGGTCCAAGGCTATACCACCCTTCATATACAACGGATCTCATTCCCCAAGTACGTTTAGCTTATCTTCTACAAGTAACCCAAAGCTTAGCTAATCACCGTGTTTAAAACACTCAAACACACTCATTGATTAAGCAGGGAATAACGAAGGAAAATGGCGAATGGGTTTGATTTCCTCTCTTTTTTAGGAGAAACGAGGTGTAACAGTCTAGCAGAGAATAATGGTTTAAAACCATGGATCTTTGGGATGCATTGGCAGAGATGAAGATAAGAGTTTCAGGGTTTTCAGAACTTCAGATCCATTGAACATCAAAATATAGTGAAAGACAAGTGCTTTGCGTTGCTGGAAACTTGAACCAACCAAAAATCAAATGTAACCCACTCTGGCACAGTAATTGATGGTGAAAAAATGGGTGAAATTGGGAATTATCAAACTCTTTGGGGACCTTGGGAACTGTATTTAGTTGTGTTTTAAATTTTCTGTCTATATGTAGAGTTTTTTTTTATGTATCGATTTATTTGTAATGAATACTTCTTATTACAGTCGTACATATAAAGACTGCATAAGAAGATTGTTTAACTATGTATTTATTTATTTATTTATGCATATATTATATTTTATATTTATTTTTAATTTTTTAATTGTCGAAGATCTTTCACGGAAACTATTTTCAATTTGGAGTTGGGGGTAACCTACTACCCCACCTCCCCTTACCCCATTACATATGAGAAAAGAATTTTGTTGTTGTTGTTAACGGTTACTTGGTTCATAGTCTCATTTGTCTCCAAATTGTTGATTTAATCGACTAAATTATGTATTAAGAATAATATGTTAGATTATATTAATGTAGATATTATTATTAGTGGTTTTATATTTAGAAATGTTAGTAAATATTATTATGTGTAAGTAGGTAAGTATTTAACGATTTTTAAATTATTTCATTTAAAATTTTAAATATGTATTAAATACTTTCTCGAATATATGTATTAAATATTTGATTGAACGCAATAGAAAAAAAATGATTTACAGATAAGTTAATTTTTATCTATTTATAAAATTCATTTTTCTTATTCTTATTATTAAATGTCTCATAAATAAATTTGATCACCGATAAACATAAAACACACACCAGACCATAAAATCTTAATATATACATATATATATATATATATATATATATATATGTATGTATGTATGTATGAGCACATAAATATCGAAAGTTTATACATCCGGTTTATTTTTTTTCATATAATTTATAGTTTTATCAAACAAGACGTTTATTATCGTTAATTTATGATAATTATGAAATAATAAATGTTTAAATTCATTTTAATAATTTAATAATAAAAATTAATTATTCTTGTTGTTTTGGTGTCGGATATGAAAATGAAATTTCTAAAAATAATTTATTTTAATCACTAAAATAATTTTACTCGCAGTAAATAAACCATCTTTTAATAAATACTATATGAAATGAGAGGGTTTCATGCTAGAGCAATTGACAATGTTTAGATTGGGAATTGGGATGAGGAGTGAGAGGGGTGTCGGTAGGGATGGACATGGGATCCAAAGTCGACGAGTTTCGATTTAATTCGATCGGGTTAAATTTTTCTTTTTATTTCAGGTTCGGGTCGAGTTGGATTCAGATTTAGGGTGAAAATTTCTGATCCGATCTGAAAAAAATTAATTTTACCTCGTATATTTAAGAATAATTATAATAATATCTCTCTATATATTATTTTTTTCAATTCAATCATTCTTTTTATTGAATAAAAAAATCTTTTTTATTATTTCGAATCGGGTCGGATCAAATTTAGATTTTATCTTAAAAAATTAGATCAGATAAAGAGTATATATTTTTTAAGTCGAATCGAATTAGATAAATAATATAAAATTTTTAAGTCAAATATAATTGCCCTAAACATGATCCATGTCCATCCCTAGGTGTCGGGGCCAAGTGGGGGAACAGAGGTTTAATAACGTGGGGCTTGTTGTGGGGGAAGGGGGCGCAGCTGCTGTGAAATCATTAAGGTGCCTGAAATGGGCCCTCATCAAAAAGTGTATCATTAAATTCAAATCGACTGTTTGGACTGTCTTATAATGCCATTGGAATTGGATTGGATCTCCAAGGTGTTAGATGACAACTTTTTATGTTGCACTTAAAGACGGATATGGGATTGGTGACCCAAAATATTTTTGGTAGGGTACGTAAATAGTCTCTTAATTATAAAATAGTTTAATCAAAAGTTACAAAATAATTAGTCTGTTATTCGTATGTTCTAAATTGATCGTTGTTTAAATGGATGTTAACTAATTGATTTGTATGATAAAAATTTAATATTATAACTATTTGAATTATATTTTGTAGATCGACTTTCCGTTTGTATTATGTCATAAGCCAATGCTTGAAATCAACGATGATTTCAATCTACATCATTAAAATACGATTATATAATATCTCAGTCAGGAAGTTAATACCTAATTTAAATGACTATAAATGTTTTAACGAAAAATTACTAATTTTAAACATATGAATAGTCAGTTAATTATTTTATAATTTTTAATAGTCAAAGTCTCAACAATGCAACACTTTATATTTAAGGGATCATTTGTATACTTCATCCTAATATTTTTAAAAAGTGTGAATTTATTAAATTTTATAAAGACAAAAATAAATTATTATCAGAATTATATAAAAATTAAAATTTCTTAAAGACATTATCTTCGTCAACCTTCTCTATCCATCTTTGGTTGTACTTAGGGATGGGCATGAGTCAGATAGGTTTTTGGTCCACCGAACCTGACCCGATAATAAAGAATCCTCCACTCGAGATCTGACTCGACCAAAACAATGTTTCACCCGACCCGATATATAACTTCAAAGTCGACCCGACTCGAAATAATAATAATAAATATTATTTTTATTCAAGAAAAACAATGACTTAATTGAAAAAATAATATATAGATGAATATTATTATAATTATTTCTAAATATATAATGTAAAATTATATATTTTTCGGGTCGGGTAGGGTCGAGTATTTTTCACCCTAAACCTGAATCCGACCCGACCTGAACATCACATTTAAAAAATCTGACCCGACCCGACCCGAACATAATTTTTTAAAAAAATCTGATCCGATCATATTGAATCAGAACCTGTCGGCTTCGAGTCCATGCCCATCCTAGTTGTACCTGCATTACTCTGTTTGGATTTACTTGATAGGATTATGCTGATGCAACTCATTTAAAGAGGTGTTCTTCAATAATGAAAATCGATTGAGCATAATGCTCAAATTCTTTTTTTCGTAAAATAAAAAGAATATAAGATAATATATGTTTAAAAAAAATTAAATTCTTTAACAATGAAAGCACGAACTAATTTATCTTATGGTTAAAGTTATCGTTGTTGTTTATAGAGGTCATGGATTCGAACACCAACAGCTGCAACATGGTGATTGAGCGTTCATTGTCAAGTGATTGAAATTATTTAGAACAGATACTACTTGTAAGTGATTTAGTAAATATATTGTATTAAAAGTATTTAAAACAGATACTACTTTTACGTAACAATATCATAAATGTTAGTTTTATTTACTATAATAACATTTTAAATTATAATATTACGTACAAAATGATATAGAATATCAATATATTTTATTTATTCGTAAAATATTTGATACTTTATAAGAAATATGATACTATGACAATCAAATGTTTATCGAGAGAACTGAAGTTAATTCGATTCAGTTAAATTGATTGAGAATATAGTAAAACAATCAGATTATTTTTTTGTTAACCGTTGATCAATTAAATCAATTATTTATGTAATATTATTATAATAAATAAATGATTAAAGAAATAAAATCATAAATAAAAATACATATATTTACGTGGAAACCCTTGACAAATAAATTTCCTAACTTCAAACCCTAAATCTTAAACTCAAAACCTCCACCCTAAATTTAAGTCACAAATCTCAAACCACAAATCCAAAATATAATCCCTAAACCCTAAATCTTAAATCTTAAACCCTAAATCCTAAACATTAAGTCTAAAAAGGAAAAATATTATTTTATCGTGAATTAAAGAAATAATTATTTGTGGATTATAAATTTTAATTAAATCCAAGTCATTTATTTATTTAAATATAACACTATAAATTAGTGTACAACTTATTAATTTTACATAATGTAATTGGATATATATATATATATATATATATATATATGATAGAATATTATCATTTGCTAGTTTAAAAAATAAATTATAAAATAATATTACCTCTTTCTCATGAAAATGGTGTGGGCCTCTTGGGTCTCTAAATGCTTTAAATTTTAGGTCTGGATCTGGGTACTTAAAACCCAATTCTGGAAGCTCTGAAAACCCTAGAATCATATCACATATAACTTGTTCTATCTTCGCTCCGTTAGTTCTTTCACGCGGCAGAAGTTAGCTTAGGCAACCAGTTTAGCAGCCATGGTACACAATACTCATCTTTCTTGGTTTACATTTTCATTTTTATATTTTTTGGTAATGAATGAACACTGAACTCGATTTTTTTTCCAGGTGAAGTATTCGAAGGAGCCAGATAATTCCACCAAGTGTAAAGTCCCATTTCTTCTTCTCTCTCTCTTTTTGAGCATTTTACTTCCTCTTTATGCCCACTTTTTGTTGGAGATTGAACTCATGGTTCGTGTTGATCTTGTGCAGCCTGCAAGGCAAGGGGCTCCGATCTCAGGGTTCATTTCAAGGTATTATAGCCTTAGTTCGCTGTAATTGGATCTGATCTTCATATAAATTTATGGGTATTGGTTTGCTTGTTGCTTAGGAGTGTATGTTATTGTGTACGGTTGAAGATTCAATGTACTATGTTTGCTTGGTGCTGCTGTTTTATGATTGTTAATTAGATGTCAAATGGCTTGGCTCTACTGTTTTCATGTAGTTATAAATAGTCATATTGTTGTCTATATGAGCAGGTGCAAATCATTTATGTTTTCGTTTCATGTTTGCTGGAGGGAGGATCTTTAAGTGTTTCATGTATTGTTTGAGTGTGTTTTTTTTCCGCGTAGTGTCTTGTTGCCTTTTGTGAGCGTGGCTCTCGTAAATATAGGATAATTACTTGCATTGTTATTCAGTGAACCTCTGGATCTTCTTGGTGACTGAAGGTTCCGTAAATGATAGATTTTAGTGTTTGATTAATATGGAAATTCGTTAAATTGGTTTTTAAAGGTGTATTGATCTTGGTTGGTTTTGTTTTTGTTTGCCTACTCGTTGTGTTTTTTATTTTCTGGTGATCACCATCGAGTCTCATACCTGGTTATTGCTCTATAGAACACAAGGGAGACTGCATTTGCTATCAGGAAGTTGCCATTGGTAAAGGCTAAGAGGTATTTAGAGGATGTTATGGCTCACAAACAGGCTATACCTTTCAGACGCTTTTGCCGTGGTGTCGGACGTACTGCTCAGGCGAAGAACAGGCATTCTAATGGACAAGGTCGCTGGCCTGTAAAATCTGCGAAATTTATTCTAGATTTGCTGAAGAATGCTGAGAGTAATGCTGAGGTATGCTTGCTGCTGTGCTTTGTTTCATTCTCGTTGATATTCCGTTCATAACAAACCTTAATTAATTTTGTAGGTCAAGGGTTTGGATGTCGATGCACTCTATATTTCTCACATCCAGGTTAACCAGGCTCAGAAACAAAGGCGCCGTACTTACCGCGCCCATGGAAGAATCAATCGTATGTTTTAGAACCATGCACTTATCCTTTTATACACTCTATTTTGTCTTTGCATGTTTACTAGACTGTTTGTTTTGCTAGCTTACATGTCTTCCCCTTGCCACATCGAGCTAATTTTGTCCGAGAAGGAAGAGCCTGTCAAGAAAGAGGTAAATTGATAACAGAACTTAAATCTCTTCAATGGTTGAAAATATGCTGCCAATGTATTTATGGTTGAAAATAACTTCGCCTTCTTGCAGCCCGAGACTCAATTGGCAGCTAGCAAGTCGAAGAAGTCTCAAGTCGCTGCGTAAATGTGCTTCCTCTCGAGTGAATGATTGGAATTCTGGTCGATGAAAGTTGTATGTTGAACATCTGGTTTCTTTCAAAGCAGAATGAGTTGTTATTTAAGATGTTTTCTGAAACCATGTTTAGTTAACTGTTATCTGAGATTCCTCTTGGAGACTGTTTAATCACTGTTTTTATATGTTGCATGAAGTTAACGAAGAATTGCCATTGCCATAAATAATAATTAGTGGGAAAGGATCAATGGCCTCTCTCACCACCAATGGACCTAGTGGTTTCAGTAGTTGCTCCGGCAGTGGCCGAGCCGAGCCTTTTGAACGGGACAACTCGTCTGGCCCTCGAGCGAAATCGAAGGTCACGGTAACATATATTATATTTTTAATAAATTAAGAAAATTTTAAATAAATATTATATGGGGTAAAAATCTTGATAGGTTCAAAAAAATCATAGAGTTGAGAATGTAATAAAGCAATTGGTCTGGTTTAGTGGTAATGTATAATATCAATGGATGAAATGACAATCCAGCTCAGTTGGTAGAGCACAAGGTTCTTAACCTTGAGGTCGTGGGATCGAGTCCTATGGATAGTATTTCATAATTTTGAGATCTCTTACGGAAGCTGTTCTTAACTTAGTATTGGTGACAGTTTACTATCTTACCTCATCCTTATCCTATTACATGTGGGAACAAGGGACAACCATTTTGTATAATATCAATGATAAGAATCAAATTCCCCAATCCTTTTGATGTGATAAATATTATTTTATTTAGGCAATGGTTGATATGAAGAGTTCAAAGGATAATAACAAAAGTCAAGTACATAGATAGTTATCGACAATAGAGTATTGTTTTATTGCGTTCATTGATTATTAAGAGTTATAAAATGATTTCTCGATTATAAAATTTTGTTTGGTTGAATCCCTCAATTATTAAAATCTACAAAATGATCACCTAATTATTCATTATGTTTTAAACTAGTCTTTTTTTTGTTAAAATATGATATTCTAAGTTGAACGTTAACCTGTTAATTATGATATGATAGAATATGATCTCTGAATCTAAACGACTATCACATCTCAGTCATCGTATTAACATCCGACTTAGACAACTATCAATTCTTTAACATAAAAAGATGAATTTGGAACATAATGAATAGTCGGGTGACTATTTTGTAACTTTTAATAGTCGATAGATTTAACATAGCAATATTCTATATAATCAAAGATTATTTTATAACTTTTAATAATCGAATGATTTAATAAAATAATATTTTATAATAAAAAAACATTTATGTATTTTATTTTAATAACAAATAGCTTAACTATTATTGAAATCACTTTATTCGTTTAATATCAACCACTTAAATAAATTAAAAGTCACAATTTTCAACAGCCTTTTGTTTTATAATTTTCTTGAACAACCCACAAACGCCAGCACCGCACCATCAAACGGCATGAGACTCGAACCCAGCCTAATCTGATTTGGTCGGATTTTTTTTAAAAAAAAATTGGGATCGGATCTGATTCGAATTTAGGGTGAAAATACTAGACCTGAAAAAATATATAATTTTGCTTAACTATTTAGGAATAATTACAATTATACCCTCTATATATATATTTTTAATTAAAACACTGTTTTTATTAAATAAAAATATTTTTTATTATTTTAAGCCAGATCGAATTTTTAAATTATATATTGAGTCGAATTCGGGTCGGGTCAGGTCTATGATGAAAGATTCATTATTCTCGAATCGGATCGGGTTGACAAAAAAAACCTGACCCACCGATTCCTATAATGATCCAAATGCCCCATTGGCCGTCAACTTCGTCTCCACTCCACCACCATCGCCCTTCATCCCCAAAACAAACCCAACTATCTTCAACAAACATAATTACGGCAATACATATATTGTCCTGTCCATTGCGCCATGGACTTTGTTCGGTTGCTTACGGCGGAGGAGAGGCGGCCGCAGTGGAGCAGAAATCCAGAACTCCAAGTAATCTTTAACATTCCCATGCGAGTCTATGGCATGGACGAAATGGAATCTCATTGAATTTTATTTTTCTTTTCTTTTTTTTAAAAAAAATAACAGTTGTTCATGAAAATTTATCGTGAAAACGCCACACTACCGGCCGATTCGTTGAAACTAACGGTGTGTAATTAAAGGCGATAGTGTGGAATGAGAGTGGGAGCACGAAAGTCAAGGTGATGAGTCTATTCTAGAGGATAAAATATGGAAAATTTTGTTACTACAAGACACAACCTATCCTTTTCTTTTATGTTTTATCAACTTGAGGATACTTTATCGCAAACTTTAAGAGACCCCATTATCAAACTATACCGTCTTGAGGGATAAAATATAAAAAAATAATGATTGTTTAAGTTAAAAAGATACGATAGTCGTTTAAGATTATAGAATTAGATTTTATCATATCACAGTTAATCTGTCAACAATCAGCTTAGAATATCATTTATTTTTAATGTAAAATGACGAGTTTTGAATATAATGAATAGTCGAGTAACCATCTTAATCTATAGTTAGAAGATAATTTTATAATTTTTAATACTATGGATGTTCAATTCAAAAGTTATATTTTTTATCGGAAAAATATGTAAATATAGTTTAGGTTTACACTAGATGTCTTAAGTAAGGTTAAGAGTACAAATTTTGGCGACTGCAAATAAAATAAATTAGGTTGGGAGGGTCACGGTCATCCTTATCTTGTAGTACTCGATTCAAATTAATCGATCAATATATCAAATATCGGTGATTTTTAGCAGTATTGTTTGGACTTAAATGTATAAGCAGATTATTGGTTTCCTATACCGCTATTCGTTACAACACTATTATTTTGTCTTTCTATCTTGTGCTAATAAGTGATATATATATACTTTATATATTACGAGTTAATTCAACGTGAGTTAAAGTCAAAATATTATTCTAACAAAAATTAAACCACTCCAGTCGTAAAATAATTGTTATTACTTTTTGAAGTCTCAAATTCAAGTATAAAAAATACTAAAAATACGAGTGTTTAATGTTAAATGGTTGAGAATTATCTTTGAACATATATTGTCTTCTACTTACCCCAGATCAATAAAAAAAATTAGAGTAAATTATCTGTTTAATATCTAAACTATCACTTTCGTTCTATTTTAGTACCCAAACTTTCAAAATGTTCAAAACCGTACATTATGTTTAGTTTTTATTTTATTTTAGTACGCGTCACTATATTTTTATGGGTAAATTACATCATTCATCACTCAATTATATTCTCGCTCTTATTTTGGTATTAAAGTTTAAAAAATTTATGACATGACATTTTTTTTATCATTTTATTAATATATAATTAAAAATAAAAAAAATTAAATTTAAGAGTTAGAGTGATTAAATTATGAGTAATTTGAAAATTAACTAATTAAATTAAAAATTTAAGCTATAGTGACCAAAATATGAGTGACAAGATAATTGAGTGATAAATAATGTAATTTATCTATAAAAAGGGTGCCACATACAAATCACATGTTAAGTTTTTAACGGTGAGTTACTAAAATGAAACAAAAACTAAATATTATGTATAATTTTAAAAAACTTAAAAGTTTAGATACTAAAACTGACCAAAATTGATAGTTTAGACGTTATACACATAATTTACCCTTGTTCTAAAATTAGTAAATATTATTATAATGATAGCATTTTTATAATAAAAATGAATGAATTATTTATCTAATATTAACACGATATAAACAAGACCCTAAATATAAAAAAAAGGTAAATTATAGTTTTTGTACTTAAACTATAAATTTTAGTCCGTTTTAATACCCACACTTTCAATTCTTTAAAATTATAACTAAAATTAAGGTTTTGTTTCATTTTAGTACCCCATTCATAATTCAATGTTAAATTTTGAAAAAAAGGGTGAAATTTTATGTACTAAAATAGACCAAAATTAATAATTTAGCTATTGATGATGGGGTAATAAAATGAAACAAAGCTTAAACGTTCTGTATAATTTTGAAAATATTGAATGCTTGGGTATTAAAACGTATTAAAATTAATAGTTTAGATATTAAACACATAATTTATCCTAAAAGAAGTTAAGGGGTGAAGAATGACGTGGTGGCGTCCTGTCAGTTCAATCTTCATTCTCCCTCGCTATTTCCATGCTTTATAAATTCATTTTCCCACTTGATGACTATCCAGTTCAGTTGATAGAATACAAGATTTTTAATTTTGAGGTCGTGAGATCTAATTTCATAGAAAACATTTCATAATTTGACGATTTTCTACGAAAACTGTTCTCAATCTAATATTGGAGTCAATCTACTATCTTATCTCCCTTATCCCATTACATATGAAACAAGAGACAGCCATAAATTCATTTCCCCATTCGCCGCTGTTTTGCCTCAAAACAGATCACTCCCACCTCCATTAACACTTTCCTTATTATTATCATTATTAACAAAAAACCAGCACGTTATCTCCTGTTTTCCTGGATCAAAGTAACCCTTCCTTTACCATCATCTTTCTTCATCTTTCCTTTTCTGTTTTAGATCTTTATCCTCTTGTTATTCTCGGATTTAATCTGTGTTTCCTTTTCCATTACCCTTACATTGAGTTTGTTTATTTCTAATCTAGTTTTGTTTTGTTTTTAAATTCTTACCAGACTAGATAACCTCTTTAAGACATAGATTTGTGTGTGTGTTTTAACTGTGGTTTAGTGTTTATACTCAGATCTAACTGTGTTTCTTACGCTGTTAGAATGGAGCATTGAGATGTCTGTGTTGATTGGCTTTGGCTTAGGAAATTTCCCAGCAGTACATAGTTGCTGCCGCCGATAGGGACGGAGCTAGGATCGAACATTAGGAGAGATAAAGATATATTAAGTATTTAAATTTAAAAACTGGAAAGATTAAAGGCCTTATCTGACTAATATTTAAACTAACAAGGACCTAAAATGTTATTCTACCAAAAATTTGGAGGGCCACAGCCCTGGCTCCGTCCGGCTGCCGGCCTGTAAAGTCATGGTAAAAATAAGTTGGTTCTACAGGAACTTGGTGTGGTAAAAGTTGAATCGACCTTTCTTCATTTTACTTTATACATTCAGGTGATTCCTGGTTTCGTCGAAATGGAAGTTATCGGGGGTTAAAACTGCTGAAATTTATGGCCTTAAGAGGTATTTATGTTTCCGAG